AGGAGCTTCTTTAGTCCCTTCTTGAGCTTTCAGCTGCTTACCCTCCTCTTTCTTTCCCTGAGCCACAGATTATTTCCCCTCTTTATCTTTCCTCCTCCCCCTGAGTGACAAGTAACCAGGAGAGACTGGTGTCCTGCTGTAGGACAGTCTCAGGCCAGGCTGTGGGAGGGGGAGAGCTTGGTAATGATGATGGCAGTGCAGTGGGGCTTTGCTTTAGGATGAATGTGGAGGCTGTGCTGGCAGGGTGGGGAGCTGATTGCCTCCTGGCTGTGGAGGGGTGAGGCAGGAAAATGGGGCTAAAAGAAGGAAACTGGAAGGCCCAACATGTTCCACCTGAGTGAGTGAGTCAGGAGGTCTCCACCTCCAAGGCCTTCTTGGGTACTCTCTTTCTTCTGGCCTTCGCTCTTGAGGCAGCATCACTGAAATACTTGTCCTCTACCCTTAGGTACAAGAAGTATGTTTTCCTGGATCCTCTGGCTGGAGCAGTGACCAAGACCCATGTGGCTCTGGAAACAGAGACAGAAGAGAAACTCTTCGATGCTCCTCTCTCCATCACCAAAAGGGGACAGCTGGACCGACAGGTGAGATGCCGCTGTGGGGATGCAGCTGCTTCCCCTTCAGAGCATTGCGCTCAGCTCTCTGAGAGGAGGGGGTTTCTGTAGGGTGGAGAGCAGGTAGGAGAATGGCCCCTTGCCCATTTCTGTGCTTGAAGGCCTGGTGTGAGCTTGATGGGTGAGACAAAACCCTCAAACTTAGCAGGTGTTTCTCTCTGCTCAAGCCTTTGCTGAGTGGTGAGAAGAGTAATGTAATATCGATTCACCTTGCAGACCTCAGGGTTGTAGAGGAGTTTGGAGGCTCCATCACTTGATCATCCTCCTTGTGTTGACTCCTGAGCCTCATGAGAAGTCTTAAGGGTGAGGTGCTGTGGCTGGAAGGTGCCTGGGAGGAGGTCTGATCCCCATCGTTCCTGCTGGGAAGGGGTGCCTGCTGGTGCAAACAGAAAGGGGGCCAGCCAGCCTGAGCAAAGGGTTTGTGCATGTTGTGGGCATGAGGCAGGCAGTGCACCAACCCAGCTGCCCCATCACACGACTAACCTTGTACCCAACACCTTGTAGTACCATACCTGGAGCTTTGCTGGTGCGTGGTTGAATGTGTGTTTTGAGGCTAGAGAAAGGAGCCTGGGAGCCATTTGCTCATCATGTTGGACCGGAGGAGATGATAGCAGTGTGCATAGCAAACAAACCCCTTTATTCACAGCACACCTTTGGTACTCTTTTGCCTGTGTGTTAAACACAAAACCAAACATCTGTAACTACTTGGTTGTGCTTCTCCTGCATCTGAATCTCAGAAACGGTTCAGGCACCATTCTCTTCTGGAGAAGGGACTGGCTTATGTAGGCTGCAAAAGTTGGTGCACGAAACCTTCTGAGGAGTAGAGAGTCCACTTGCAAGAAACTAGGAAGAGTCTGCACCTCTTCCTCCTCCTGCAGCCTGCCTTTTCCAAGCCTGATCTGCAGCGGGTAGCCTCTGAGCACGGGGAGCTGCCACAGAACAAGAGCACAGTCGTAGGGGTAGCTGATGAGCAGCCGCTGTACCAAGGCACGCAAGCCCAGCTCTGCCTGCCACCCAGGCTGTTCCCTGCAGTGCCCCTGTTTGCTGCAAGGGGAAGCAAGTGCATAGTCACTGCCTTATCTTTTTGTTTTGGGTTTCTTTTAGGTAGCTGAAAACTACTTCTACGTGCCAGATCTGGGCCAGGTCCCTGAGATTGATGTGCCGTCCTACCTGCCAGACCTTCCTGGCATTGCTGCAGATCTAATGTACAGTGCTGATCTGGGCCCCGGCATCGCACCGTCTGCCCCTAGCAGTGCTATTCCAGAGCTGCCCACTTTCAACACCGAGTCAGTGGAGCCTTTGCAACCAGGTATTTCCAATCCCTGCTCCCAGGATCCTGTGAAGGAGGAAGGCAGGGATTGCTAGAAGATGGAGACAAGGCAGAAGGTCACTTGGTGGAGATTTCAAGATGGATGTTGGAGAGACCTCTGGCTTGTGCTTGGGCCTGAGTCAAAGCTGCAACATGCTCAAGTGCTGGCCAGACTCCAGGCCCCTCACCTCCCTCACCCTCTGCATGGCTAGGGAGGAGGGAGCGCAGTGTGCAGGGACTGGCCTGGTGGCAGCCTGGTGGGATGCCTTTGGGCGAGTGGGATGCAGCTGGGGAGGGCAGAGTAGGGGAATCTCAAACTCTGCCTTGGCCCTGCCTGCTGTTAAGAGATGCTGCACAGGGTGGGAATGCTCTGCTGCAGGACCCTGATCTGTTGCCGCTGAGGCACGCGAAGCTCTGAGCTGAAGCTCTCGGTGTGCTGTCCTCTGAGACACTTCAGATGCAACTTCTTTCATCTTTCAGACCTTCAAGATGCTGAGCTATTGCCGCCTCCTCCACCACCACCTCCACCACCACCTCCTGTTATGCCAATTACTGTGCCTCCCCCACCACCCCTGCCCCAGCCCACAGCCCCCTCGGAGCCAGCCCGGACAGCAAGCGAGGAGAGCAGCAATGCAGTGCCTGCAGGTAAGGGCTGGGCATCTCCACAGCTTCACCAGCAGAATCTAACCCTGACTCCTTGGCTGCAGCCCGTGTCCTTGGTCGGTTCCCTGTGGCTTCCCAGCCTCCCGGCAGAGGAGGGAAGCTGTGGTGGGAGGGGAAGTGGCTCCCGCCTGCTTGGGAGCTGCAGGCCTTCAGTTCCCCCTTGGCAGGGCTCCTGCTGTCTGGGCTGAGCGTAAGTCCATCACTGAGAGGTGTCTGGGCCAGGCTCACAGCCCCAGGCAGAAGCTGGCAGGGTATCGGAGCAGCCCTTTCCATGGGGATTTGTTGGGGCACTGACCCACGGCTGCTGCCTGTCATTCCTGTCCCTGCAGCTTTGGTCCAGGGAGCCCCGAAGGAGGTGGTGAACCCCTCTACTGGGCGTGCCAGTCTCTTGGAGTCCATCCGCCAGGCCGGTGGCATTGGAAAGGCCAACCTCCGCAGCGTCAAGGAGAGGAAGCTGGAGAAGAAGAAGCAGAAGGAACAAGAACAAGGTGCTGAGGCTCTTTTTGGCAGAACTGATCTTCCTTGCTCTCTGCCCCAGGCTGGGGAGGTGTAGGTCTGGGGGGAGATGGGCACGCCAGGAGCACAGTGAACATACAGAGCAGAAAGGTGCTGTCTCTCCTCAGAGGCTGGTGTAGGTCTTTGGCTGAATAGGAAACACCTAAGCTGTGTGAACTTGCTAAACCCCATCTGCAAGAAGGGCATTCGTGTTCTTGATGGAGACCCGGTCTCAGGGCACACGTAGAAGTTTCACGTGTGCTGCACAGGGGCAGACACGCAAAGGAAACCCTGGGGCCGAGAGGGGCAGGGCCAAGCCAGTTTAAGCACGTTGGTTTAGGTAGCTGGGGAGGGGATTGATGGAGCTGGTTTGGCAGAATGAGACTGCAAACGCTCAGCCCTTCTTGCCCCTCAGGGAATTCCACTCTTGGATTTCCCCAGAAGATGCTGTTACCAATGCCTGGTGTTTTTCTGCCCTGAACCTGGACTATAGTGGGAGAGATCAGGTGTGTGATACAAGATTAGGGGGGGTTGTTTTTTTCTTTAATCTGAAGGCAGTATTGCAGGAGAATGCTTTTGCCGTAGTGCTAGGTTCAGACTGACACTTCTTGTCTGGCTCTGTTTCAGTGAGAGCTACAGGACAAGGTGGAGATTTGATGTCGGACCTCTTCAACAAACTGGTGCTGAGGCGCAAAGGTACTGTCCTGCAGGGGGGGCTGCTCCTTCTCCCTAGGAAAGAGGGAGAGCCCTTTCTGGCACCTCAGCTGTGTCAGCCACAGCCCTACAAGCAAGAACAGACACCTTCCCTGGCGCGTGTGCCACAGCGTGGCTGGGAGTGTCTTTACAGAGGGTGAGCAGGGGAATCTCCACCTCAAGTCCAGCTGGAGACACTGGAGGAGGCTGTGTGTCCGAGGCAGAGGACAGGCTCTGAAAGCTACCTGTGAGGAAGGGACAGCGGTGTCTTTTGTAATTCAGTGCTGGGGCAGCTGGGCCCCATGCCGTTGGAGGCACCCAAATTGCCCCAAGGCCTTGGCAGGTACCCGGGGCATTTAGGGCCAGTGTCACCCCCTCAGCGCCTGGCACAGGAGGGCATGGACTTGCTCGGGTGGAGCATTAGTTAAATCAGCCCTTGCACAGGGCTGGGGCGGCATTTGAGCGTGTTGGCCGTTCTGCTTGCCTGGGTCACCTGGGTGCTGGTGGGAGCCGTGGTACAAGACGTGTTTTTTCCATCCCCTTTGCTGAGCCTCTGTGTTCTCTCATCCCCAGGTGTCACTCACTGGTGCTTTTCCTTCCTTCACAGGTATTTCAGGGAAAGGGCCGGGAGCCTCTGGGAATCCCGATGCTCCTGGAAGTCCTGCTGGTGCCTTTGCTCGTATGTCAGACTCAATACCACCCCTCCCACCCCCACAGCAGCCCGTGGGTGAGGAGGATGAGGATGACTGGGAGTCATAGATGGGGTCAGTTGTACGTTAGTGTGACTCCCTGGACTCTTGAACTAAGCACCTTTGAGAGACACCAGCCTGTGGAGGGTAGGCACTGCCATGGCAGGGGCACCCTGTCGTTTCTTCTGGAAGAAGAGAAGGAGCAACAGGCACTAACTGCTGCTGAGGGTGTAGTTATCAATGAGAGTTTTTCTTTTGCTATCTGCTATTCTCCACCCCAAATACTACATTCCATCTCACATGCTGCTGCTCATGCCGGCGCAATAAATCCTGCCTTAGCTGGCAGGCAGTGGGGCAGCCTGTGCTCAGAGGATCAGAACTAGCATTGCTCCTGATTTAAAGGGCCCTCAGTCTTTCCTAATGTGACTGGTGATGACTGCAAACGCATCTCTTGCAGGCAAACAGCCCTTGCCTCATTTGTCTCCTTGCTGCTTGCTTGTGAAGCTCCTGTTTGCCTGGTTGTTGCTAGAAGAGAGAATGGGGGGGTGTGGCCCTTCATGGAGGTTTAATTCCTGGTGCCTCTGCACAGGATGGTTTCTTTCTTTACCTGGTTTATGGTAATTCTTTGCCTGTTGCTGCCTGAAAATGTCAATAAAGTTGAAGGAAGCAGGTCCTTGCAGCCTTCACTTTGATAAAAGCAGGAAGCGTGCTCAATTAAGAGTGTCTTCAGGGAAAGGGCCAGCTGTCCACGCTCCTCTCAGGCAGGGGCTCGCCTTAAGCCCCAGCACCCCCAGCCACCCTGCTGGAGGACACCAGCTGTTACAAGCCGGTGCCCCCCGGCCCGCTGCTGCGCTCACCGGGGTTACGGCAGAGCTTGTGCCAGACGGGGGCTTCGCACCCACTGAAGGGGCAGGACGTTTCACAGAAGCAGCTGCTTCTTTCCCTGGGGGGCTAATTAACATATAGGGAGCAGGTACCAGCTCTGTCTCTCATTATAAGTGCTTTTTTCATTGTGAAGAGCCTTGAGAGGTAGCATCCAGCTGCTGAAACGGGCAAGGAGGCAAAATGGCTCCTGGGAAAACTTGCTCAGGAGGACAGAAAGAGCTGGGGACTGCTGTGGGATTACACAGGTGTAGGACTGTTGTTATTGCTGCCCTCCAGCACTGACCCATGACCAGGAAAGAAGCCCAGGAAAGTTAAAGCTAAAAAAAAAATAAAATAAAATAAAAGGTTTTACCATTTTCCACAGAAAGTTACTTCGAATTCAAGTGCTGTGCTGGAGTATGGCCATATCTTTATTCCCCTTGAAAGAATGAACCGCTTCTTGACTCTATTGACTGACTGACACAAAGTAGAAAGAAGAGGATAAGAAACGTTACCCATAGCTGCCCCCTGTCTTACCCATCTGACTGTGTAATTCCAACACGACACAAAGTAACAGCCTGATAGTTTACAATTCTTGTGAAAAGCTCTATGTTTTCATTGGTCATCAAGCCCCCTCCACTTGGTGGTTGATGGGAAAAGGCAGATGTGTTCAGTCAAAATAATTATACTCCCCATACTTAAGTGTTTGGGTTGAAAATATTTAATCAATTTAAATAAAACCTTAACAGCTGTAAACAAACAGGACCCTGCCACTACTACCTTCACCTGCCGCAGACCTACAACTGGTTTCCCTCCTGAAGGCTGTCTCACCATTGTAGTACTCAGATACTGAACAGCAAACATCCACAAAGGTTGCACAAGGCAGAGATTCACAAATTCCTTGGTACGGAAAAGCAGGAACTGGTGTTGCTTCAGGTGTTCTTCAGAGGTACAGCTCACAGAGTTGAACTGTACTCTGGTCCACATCACAAAGCTTCTGACTTCCCTCGATGGAACTAAGAACACACAAAACCAGACAGTTTGTCCCTGGCCTTGCACCAAAGTGAAGGTCTGAGAAAAGTACAGGTGAGTACAGTAGGAAACAGTTTGGTAGCAGTACATAAGAGACAAGTTCTGACCTTTCTTAACTCTGCAAACGCTGATCCAAAGGCAGGTTTCACCTGGGTTCTCTCCCTGATCCACTGTGGCAGTTTGTTAAAGATGGCAGGGCGTGTGTACCTGTGGTCCAGGAGCAGGATGCTTGCAAAGTCCTTCTGATGGCGAATGGCTCTGCCTGTACAGAGTGTACAACCACATTACAATGGCCCACTCAGGTGTTTGTTCTCAGGCAAGGAAGCTCATGTTCCTGTCATCTGTACTTAGACTGATTGGTAACGCGTCTTTTTTCCACCCTCCTACTTCAGTGCGGTCACATTTCGTATCCCCCAGCCTGTCCAAGGAAGGATGAATTACCTATCGACTGGTTTACTGCCTTCATGCACAGGTTTTCAATCAGCACTCTGCTAGGTGCCTGGCCAGCAGCGCGGGGCTGGAAAGGAGAAACGGGTAAGACGGAGCATGAGGCAGATGTAAATCAAGCTAGGGAGTCTTAATGACAAAGTGAGGCAAATGCTTTTACCTCTGCAGAGTGAGCGGGTGGCCAAGCAGACCCCAAGCTGAGAGTAAGCAGGGACAGAAGAAAGGTTGCAGCCGGCCCAACACCTCCTTGAAGGCAGAAAACTTGTCCCCAGCTGCCCAGGAACAGCATCTCCAGTGGGCAGTGACAAAGAACAAGCGAGCCAAGAGGCGAAGTGATCCTGGCAAGCAGCTTCTACCATCCTGCCACCTCCTCTGGGGCGAAGGGACCTTGCTCCCCTTGGAACTCAGTGTTCCCAGGCAGCCCCAGCGGTGTTTCCCCCCCACTCAGCTTCTTCCCTGTGTTTAGGGCCACCTGCACACGTGCAGCGTGGAGAAGGCTGTGCTCTCAGTACCGCACAGTCTGGGAAACGAGGGCAAGCTCAAAGAAAAAAAAAAATCTTTGAAGGCAGCCCGGGGACTCATGTGCTGGGAGGAAAGTTAATACCAAAAAGCCGAAGTGAAAGAGGCAGAGGTGTAAGTGTCTCTGTTACCATTGTTTTGTCAAGCCAAGTCATTTTTTCCTGGAGCTCTGGAGACTTAATGTTGGGGTAAGGCATTCCCACCATAATCACACACCTGCAAGGGAGGACCGCATTATTCTTAATGTCTCATCCTAGAGCACTTTGCCAATAGACTGATAAATTAGAGGTCACTGCACCCCTGAAAGACAGCCAGCCCTGAAAACCGAAGGTGGCAATAAAGCACAGCAGTCTGACAAGCACGTTCTGAACAGAGAGCTGCAGAGGGATTCAGGGTGCCAGAACAAGGGATTATCTAGCACAGCAAGCCTAGCTGCGTTACTGACATAAAAAGTACCCTGGACAAGCAGGTTCTACACCACCCAGCAGACTTGGTCCTGGTGGTTTAAGCATCAGCCCAAGCCATGCGCTCACCAGGATTTTCTATCCATGCAAGTACTGATGTGTCCATAGAATCCTTAAGGTTGGAAAAGACCCATAAGATCATCGAGTCCAACCGTTAACCTAGCACTGCCAAGTCCACCACTAAACCATGTCCTCAAGCACCACGTCTACCCTTCTTTTAAATACCTCCAGGGATGGGGACTCAACCACTGCCCTGGGCAGCCTGTGCCAGTGCCTGACTACCCGTTCGGTGAAGAAGTTTTTTCTAATGTCCAACCTAAACCTCCCCTGGCGCAGCTTGAGGCATCCTGCACCACAAGCCCAGTGCTCACCTTCCAAGGAGCAGCCACCTTACCTTCCCAGGTCATCGGAGAAGTTGATCCCCTCGCTCATTTTGCCTCCAACCACAGAAAGCAGCAGGGCCCCTGTCAGCTGTCCTCCTGCCTGGCTGCAGCGCTGCAGGAGAAGGACCAGCAACTTAAACCAGAGTAGGGAAGATTTCTCTGCTTCAGAAACACCCCCACACCTGGGCTAGAGCCCTCTTTCCTTGTTAAAAGCTGTGATGCCCTCTTTAGCAGTGTTCCCATATGCATTTGGGATGCTACACTCCCACCAGCCTGCCAGCTCAGCTTACCTTTATGCACTTGGCATATTCCACCAGCACCTGCTCCACCTGGTTGGCTTTCTTAGGCTCCTGGAAGATCTGTCACAGGCACAGCGCGTCAGTTGCAGCAACAGGAAGCAAACAGTTTGAAGAAAGCAAATCATTTTACCCCCATGCCATTAAACAGCACATGGAATTAAGATCGGGGAAGGGCAAATCGCCTGAAAAACCAGCACCTTTCCCCTCCACCCTGGAAAAGCACTGATTGCTCACTACAGCACTTTCCAACCAGGCTCTGAAGGGAGCAGCAGCTGCTCAGCCCCTCCAACACTCCCCTTCAGCTTTGGCAGGCTTAGCTAATTCTGCAAGAAGTTTAAAAGTCATCCGAGAGCAGAAAGGCTGGAAAGCAACGTGCGCCTCTTCCACCAAGGAATAACAGTCCAGCGGGGTGAGGAGACCCTCCAGGTGCAAGATCTTGGAGGACAGTGACAGGACCAACCAATTCGAATCACCAATTAATTCCAAGTAACAGCTCTCCTTGCCCACTGAAAAAAACTAATTTATTATGCAAAGCATACATAAAGAAATATTTCTTTATGTTATTCTAGCATGCCTAGTTAGATAGTGAAAGCCCCTGAAGTTAATTGAGCTGCATTTTGATAGATGCTGCACCTTGGCCTAAATCACAAGTTGTTTTCCTAGTAAAAAAGAAGAGGTGCAACATCTGTCTTTTCTGTGACAGTAAAGAACCTAAAGGATGTGTTTTCTCTTGCTTAGCAAGAAGTACTATCAAATTTTACCAGCCAGAATCAGTCTTTCAGTAGAAAAAGAACTGGCAATTACACATATAAGCCAAGACTATTTAACTTAGTAAACAGTAGCTATTTAATCCTCTGATTTAAATTAATTTTCCCTGTGTAATTTATATATAATCTCAGTGTGATGTCACCACAGCCACCTCAGGAAAGACTTTAACCTTCCTCTGCTATGATACGATCTCGTGTGTGGGCAGCTGAAAGTCACACTTGCTGCACTTCTACCAAATTGCTTTGCTAACGCGTATCCAATTTGCTGGAGACTGCAAAGGCCAAACAAGAACAAATCAGAGTTGAAAGGCAGAGCAAGCTGCCTGATTGTGGC